TAACATTGAGAAGAAGACAGTCAAAGTATCAGCGTTTGAGAGAAACGAGTCACTTTTGTGCAAATGTATGCATACGTCCCATTTACACCTTAAGCAGTTTATTTCACAAGTCTTGTTTTCTATTCATTTCATTTTTGCAATTTTTTCGTATTGTTTCCATTGAATTACCTTAGCAATCTCTTTATCTACCATTCCAAACCAAAATACTCAAACACTCGTTGTATAACTAACGCATAGTCTAGGATTCTTGTAGTTGATCCTGCACGTAAACTTTAATAAGAGGCTAGAGGTTGTTCGTCGGAAATTCAGGCGAACAACACAACAACGAAATATAGTCTTTTGTGTATTTGGGATTTGGATTGTTGTGTGTCTAGAGAAGGTTTTATATTCTTCTGTTCAAAATAATATGTTGAAAGAGTTTTCTATTTTTTCGTTCAAAAATTGTAATTGGGAGGGTTTGCAATTTTGTCCTTGTAAAAATTACAAGTTGAATTATTACTTTATGAACTTTTGTTAAAATTTTGCATTTTTTCTTTTTTGTGGGTAAACTTTCGCATGCGTAAAAAAATTGTTATTTTTCCAACAAGAAGACGGTCAAGCATGCATGTGGCAGCCTCAATGGGTTGCGAACAAATAATTCTATATGTATATGAGTAACATAACTCATTATGGGGGTGGGAATCTCTTTCAACCCCTTCGAGAGGATGTTCTAAAAGCGGTTAACGTTATCCCCTCGTAACTTCATCAAACTAATTGGGTTCTCACGAGGGTTTGTGGCCTTCTTCATGACCCTGGAGATCACGTCAATTGTGGGTGTTTTCTTTTCGTTCTATAAGACGAAAGAGGTTTATAAGAGAAGTTGTGTTTCTCTAAACGCTCTTGTTGGTCGGGGTCTGCTTACTCGTTACTCGTTGAATTATAAAATTTGAAAAGATAAACTTGTCTGAGTTTGAGATAATATTCATTGTTTCAAAGTCATATTCAACGATGAAGGATTACATTATTTCCTCTTTATTGTTAAAGTGAACCTACGTCAATATTGAATTTTGACCATGATAAGGTTAAAGAGTATGTTTGAATGAGGTAATTAAAAAATTTTAAGGAATTCAAAATTTTAAACAATTCAAGTAATTCAATTGAAATTCATTTATTTTTAAATTCATTTGTTTGAACGGAGTATTAAAATGATTCATTGTTAAATTTTTGGAGTCATTTTCATAAATTTTAAACCTTAAGTCAAATTTAAAATATAGAAAATAGATATTAATTTGCAATTTTTGAAAATTTAAAGGAACTAATTTATAAATTTTGAAAATTATTAGAGATTTATTTGCAATTTTTTAAAAAATTTAAGAGTGAATTTGAAATTTTCATAAAATATGACAACAATCTTGCAAATTAAAAATTAATAATAAACAATTTAACATTTGTATTATATAAAGTAAAGAAGCAGTTTCGAATTCTTCACTTTTTGGTCATTTGAGATTTTTTAAATTTAATTTGAATAAAAGACTTCATAAATTTACATTATTTTAACAATTGTTTATTTTGGTTTATATTCAAATTGTTCTGGCCTGGGCCCCGGTTTGACCGGACAGGCCCAGCCCAATAATATTCTGCCAAGCCCAATTCAGCTGGGGCCACAGCCGTCGAGCACAAAGTCCCTAGTGGGCAGGTGATGTTCCTCCGCGGGCAGAACCTTCCTCACCTGTGTCGAGCACGATACTTCCTCATCGACCAGACACTGCCCCCGCCGGACCTGCCCCTCCGCTGGCAGAACCTGCTCCCTCCGCGGGCAGGACGACGTGGCCTTCACACGTTCTCCACGTGCTCCCTTCTGCGGGGGCACGTCGCCGACCAACTATCCACCTCCGAAGAGCAGGTCAAACCCACCTTCCGGAGACCACGAGACAGTTGGACTAGGGCGAAGACCACGTCCTGGTCTTCACTACGCCACGTAAGCCCTAGCAGTCACCTGGGTTGGGCCTGGCAATCCAGCCCAACACAAGTGACCGTTGGCCCAGCGTTGGAGTCTCTCTATAAATACCCTCTTTCACAAGAGGGTCAGGTAATTCGATTCTTACCATTTTCTGTATTTGTGATCACTCTGCTCATACACTTACTTTAGCATCGGAGTGTCTTGCAGGGCACCCCCCTCCTCTTCTTCAACACTGGTGAACAAGCAGCAAGTCGACGACGCGTGGCAGCCAGCGATCCCCTTCTGATCAGGTCACAAACAATAAATTTTAATTAAATCATTTTAATTCTTTTAAAAAATTATTTTATCTTATTAAAATGTCTTATCTAAACACACTCAGACAATAAAAGAATGTATTCAATTTTTAGAACAAATTTGTGTTTTGAATACTAGAAAATTCATAAAGTGTGAGGATGATAAGTTATCGGCTTGTCGCCTATAGCTTTATAAAAAAACTAAGCTTTTTTATTTAAAATAATTCGATCTAGCCTAAATATGTGCATGTTTAGGTTAGGTTGTAAATTTATGATAGTTGATCTGATTTATTCTATGTCATTCAATACAAGGACCACTATCTTCTAGTTTAAAAGAACAAAGATAACAGATATACAGTAAACCACCTATTAGTAATACAATTGTAGAACTTGCTACAAGAATAAGATATAATCATTTATAATGTTTTATGTGAACCACAAAAGTCAAACGCATTGTAAAAAGTAAAAACGAGAAAGGTTGTCCTATTCTATTCTACATGCTTAATCCTAAACCTTCATTTTTACAAAATAAATAAATAAAGAAGAACAAACAATCCAATAGAATAGCTGTCCCGTTGTATTGACTCAACAAGCCATTAAATTATATAATAGAATATATAATCGTTTGTCTTGTATTCGTGTCTTGAACAACAAACGAGTCCTTGAGATAGCTAAGTTTCCTAAGCTTATCCATCAAAATATAATTTTCTTCAAGTCATTTTTTGCAACATTAACCTATAAAATGACTCGAGTTTCAATCGTAGTTGCATCTGATAAACACTAACAATAAAAACACATTTTGATACACTTTAAAAGGACAATTTGATTACGCTTGTATTTTCTTTCAATTTCCGTTTGTGCAAATCAAATCTTCCAAGTTTCGTGTATTCTAATTGTTACAATCAAATTACTCCATTCATCAATAATCGCGTTTTTAACACCAAGAACCTACGTGACCCGAAGAAGATTCCTCTGTATGGTATTTGTAATGGCAACAATCCCAAATAGCCTCTTCATTGAGCTCTAAGTTAACAAATTTTGCCACATGAATTTGTCAAACTAGCTTAAGTCAGTACCAACTCAAAACTAATACTGGTCTCAGAAACTGCCAATATGAAGGACTAGACAGTTACTATACAGAAGATCTAAATGAAACAATTGAGATTGAATTCGCATAATGGAGACATAGAAACTAAATCACACAATTGTGACACCAAAGCACAACTAAGACATGAAGATACAACTAACCCTAAAGCTCTTGTAAAAAAACGTAACTCTTAAATGAACAAAACTCTTTAAATGTGTAAATATAAACATTTTTTAATTTAATAAAAAAAGGCAATAAGTGTTCTTAATCTGGTTTGAAAAAACAAGTGCTCTTAAAGAGATACGGATGAGTTTTAAAAATAACATTTTAGTTATTATAAAATTGTGAAACAGGAAAACAAAAAAAAACAACCTATTACTTTGTCTACCACTCTAACTCTAATCATTATCTGTGACTCAGATCAGGGAAATAGTTCTACTGGTAAGTCCCTGTATTTTTATGTACAATGACACAAGTTCTTTATTAGTAATATATGATGATACAACTTCTATTCTACCAAATAATTAAGGAATGCATGTTTTTTTTTCAATCCTGCTTTCACTGTATTAGGTTCAATCAAGCCAGGATCTATTAACAAAACAAAAAGTACACATGATGAAAACTACCATGCACGTTTTTCTCGGGTGGGCATCATCAAGGCAATTTTGAATAGACATGGACTCCACCAAAGATACTGCTGTCATTAAGAAAAATAGGTAAAATATCACATAAAAGGAACAGAGTTACCTAATTTTCAATTAAATAAAAAAAATCATTTTTCTTGACAAAGAACAGTCTCAAGCATGAAACATGAATCAGTTTTTCACTTCACACTTTCAACATCAGTATTTCAGACACAGCAATTAAAAACAATGTCAATATGCCAACTAAGCCACATTCAATAAGTTCACCATAGTTCAACAACCCCCAATTAATTATTCTATTTGATTGAAATGATTATCCAAGTTCATCAGACAGTATATACAGGACACAGCAAGTAAGCAATTGTGTGCATCACTGATTTTTCCGGTTGCCTCACCTCGCTGAGAAAGCATATAAAATACTGTAGCCTTTTTTCAAATCTGAGCACATCAAGCAGGGCCATAAATAGAATCATGGGAGTACACCGAATTTACAAGGAAAACACTAAATTCAATGTCACAAACTTACGGGTATCCATTCCAGTAACATATCTAAAACATTTCTATTTTACACTTCAAAGCTACAAACAGAGCAGAAGTATAAACTCAACTTCAGGAAATCACCTGATATATACATCCCTAAATATTGAACAATAAAATCGCATGTAGGAGAGGGAAAAAGTTACCAGAATATACATGCACTTTGTACAAAATAGCAACATGAGCAAGAAACACCGAAATAAGGATAACACAGAACTCGGCCTAATTTAATCTAGTTTGTTAGCATCTATGGCTACTACCAATATTTTTCTACTTATTTGGTACTCTCATTTCTATCGTTCATCAATCTCTAAAAGAAACCCAGAGTCGATGGATGCTATCTTCATTTTGAGACGAATGCACATTGATCTTACTTCTTAATTCTTACAAAATCGCCATCCTTTGGTTGCACCAGCTGAAAGGTAGGCAAGTAATATTATTTTCCATGTATTGACCATTATTGTTAGTGCTATTACATAATCCCCATCCATCACTGGCACTCAGTTGGAAAGTGGAGGAAAGTCATCTTCATTCTTCAAATGATATACTTGCACTTCAATCCTGAATCTCAAACCATAGACACCCCCTTAAAGCAAAGGAAAACTAGGAGTACAAACTATAATCGTAGTGGTTTAAGCTCAAAAGTATGTTGCCAATGATTTAACATCATAAGGAATCTCTGCAGCAATGAATAAGCATCAAAGGAAAAATTATTTTACCTTTTGGGATCCGCTACAGGCAATGAATTAGAGCTCTCCTCTGTCACTATCCCTGTGTTAGGCACAGATACCCTAGGAGTGGAAATGCCTTGGTCTGGGTGATTGCTCACTTCAGTTCTTGGGGATCCACGAAGCTGAGGGCTCTCAGAACCAGACTCGTGTTTGTCAGACGGGTGAGGGAAACCATTAGCATTGCGTGCTCCCCATGTGGGAGATTGAGAGAAATAGGTTTCTGAAGATCTGGCTCTACCATTACTAAGAGCAGGTTCAGAATTTCCTTCCACAGACAAATTCAACTCATGTGAAGCTAGAGCGAACCCATTGTTATGAGTGTATCTCTGTAAATGCCCATGGGTACCAGGGGCTTGACCCCTTCCCCTACCCAGCATTGGCCTATTATCCCTAAATGGGCGAGAATTCTGCAAAAGTATAGGATTAATAGTTAAGTGACGACTGCATTATTGGAAAGCTTATACATTATATACACATTCAATTTTAATAACTATATAGATACCATATTAGGGAAGTATGCGCCTGTTCCTCGTGGCTTTCTCTTTTCTTCTGCGACAAAAGAGGACACTGGTAGAGTAGGATGGTTTACGAGGTAAAGTTGTCCCACAACACAATTCGTGTTTGTCTGAGGATGAACGCCATGGTTCATCTGTAAACATTGACGAACAGTTTCCCAAGGATTCCTATTAGGAAACTTGGGAGACCTAGGAGGACTAGGGACCACAGCAGGAGAGACAGGATAACCATTGCACATCTGGCCATATTGTAGGTTTGCAACGTGACTGTCATAATCCCCAGCAAGGTCCAACAATGATTTTGAAGCTTCAGTTCCCCCAGAAACACTAGTATTGTATCTATCAGTATGAAAGAAATCATTTTCAAGAATATTAGCAGCATCTCCTAAAACTGTTGAACCATTAGATGCCATATTCTTTTCAACAGTATGTGATCTGGGAGAATTGCTTACCATACCATGCTTCTCTTTATCATCATCAAAAACAGAATTTACATCTGTTTTGCTACAAGTCCTATTTTCAGCTTTCCCATTTGAACAATATGACAAACCATTACTGTTCGCAATACCCAAGACTCCAGATGTTTCAACATCTTTAGAATCTTCACTAAGTTTGTAAGTTGCAACTGCACTTCCATCACCAGAGGAGTCAAATGATGGCGGTACCAAAGAAGGGACATCTTTTACTACATATCTTTCTCTTTCATTTCTAATTTCATAATTATGTGGATTTCCAGTTATTGTATCTTTCAATCCAGTAGATAAACACAAAAATGAATTGTCTTCATTGCCTTGATTGCTTCCATGCCTATCCAAAGTGTTCGCAAAGAACCTATTAAGCTCATCTGCTATTCTATCTTCTGGTAACGTAAGAATCCAGCCAAGTTTACGGGCACCATACTTAAATGCACTGCGTATTCGAAAGAAATTACCTGAAAGAAATAAATGAATACCATCATTGTAATATAAAATTAGACGACATGAATGGATCATAGACAAAAGCAAGGCACCTATGACAAATTTTTTTATGTCCTCTGGTTCATGAAAAGTGTATACAAGAACGAACAAATTATGTAAAATAGCAGCATTGCTACAGTGGTAGGGGTATGTAAAGCTACTAGACTGAGGTTTCTAGTTGTAGTACAAGAAGACAGAATTGTTTACTTAATTTATGTTGGTCCAATCATATAGGGAAGGAATGGAGAGAAAGAAACAGATCCACTCAGGCATTTTTACAGACAAATAAATGGTGGTTTAGTTATTATATTCTCGATCTAAGTACAGCTTAGCAAATAGTTAAACATATTATAAGTTTAAATCAAACAAAAAAATCATAATGATTTCACTAATAACTGTTCATAGAAAACAAAAACAAAAACAAAACAAAAAATAGAAACAGAAACACCTACAGAAGACGCAATGTAGGTTCATCAAGGTGAAGAATGATAATTTTAAGCTATGAAGCACGGACACCTCTAGGTGTAGGCGTGTCGCGGTGTCCGACACTTGTATGACACGTGTCGAAAAAGTCAAACAAGTGTCAAAAAAGTCAGACAAATGTCCTGCAGAAAAATAGTTATTTTCTTTGATTCGACATTCTTTAAATCGGTGTCCGACACTTTTATAAAAAAAAAAACTGTTTTTTTCTTTATTTCAACACACCTTATACATTTTTTGAACAAATCTCTCTTAGATCAGGCTTAAATATTTACTAAAACATATACTAAAGCAATGTTATCAATGAAGAATTAAAGACGTTAATTCTGATTAATATATTTTTAACTCTTTAAATAATAATGGAAAAATAAAACTCAAATACTATCATATATGTAACGGTGTCGGTGTCCTATATTTTTAGGTTATCTGTGTCGGAGTGTCTGTATCCATGTTGGAATCCATGCTTCGTATATTTTAAGATTCTTTGCTTTTTGTGAGTTTCTAAGAAAAATTCAAAACATATCTTCAATGTACAAAACTTCACCAACCAGCCTTTCCTGCTAGAACCACAATTAAAACCATGCTGGTGTGGGTTGTGAGGATTATTATTGTCTACAATTGCAGTTTTTTTAGGTAATATGCAAGCGGACAAAACACATTCTAGGAAGCCATTCCTGGTAGATAGCCCTCCGCGGTGTAGCTGAAAACGGTTTTTGCATATGTCTCTCGTGTCCTCTTATTTTATCTGTTTCAATTCAATAAAGTATTGAGAAGCAACCATACATCATACTTGCTTGTGGACTCGTTGTCTTTTGTGTTTCAACTCCAATTTACCCCCTCCTCTACTGTTGTCACCTATTCTAGTACTCATTCCGATCATTTTCCAGCCAAATCCAGCCATATCAACCTTTACCGGATCCGGACCATGGATCTCTCATCCACTAATTATATACTCCCTCTGTCCCACAATGACCCATTTGAAATAAAAGAGTGTTTCAAAATGAAAAGATGGATATTGCAATTCGGATTTTGAAAGACATCAAAAGTGCTTCTGAAAACTATCTCATTTATGAAGATAGAGACGCCGATGCTAATTGAGCAAGCTTACCCATTGAAGGGAAATTCACTTATGAATATAGTGTACTTGTTGGAAAAAACTTGATAGTTTGAAAGAGTAAGAAATAAAATGAAGTTGCAAAATCCAACAAGGAGGCGGAATACATGTCCATGGCATTATTAACAAGCGAGCTCATTTGGTTGAAAAAGTTGCTCAAAGAGAAAGAGCTTCAATTTGAAGAGGTAGGATCAATGACACTAATCAATGATAATCGATTTGCATTTCACATTGCCTCAAATCTAGTTTTTTGTGAGGAGCCCGCATATTGAGATAGATCATCATTTTGTTAGGGAGAAGATCGAATCAAGCGACATTGTCACAAGCTTTGTCAATTCTAATGATCAGTTAATAGATGTTTTTATAAAATTCCTGAGACGTCCTAGAATCAATTATATATGTAGCAAGCTCTGTGCATTTGATTTTATGCATGGGAGGTAATTGAAATAAGACTTTTATGCCGGCTAATAGGCCAACTAGACCTCCGAAAAGGTCAAACTCAGACTTAAAATAAGTCTATGATAGGCTATAGGTCAGGCTTAGCCTTTGAACTTTTTAGTGGGCCAAACTCAGGTTTGGCAAAGCCTAACTCGGCCCAACCTATTCCCACCCTTTAAAGTAAGTGTAGCAGAGATGAGGATGGTGCATTGGATATATGTTAAGACTAGACGAGATAAGATTAGATATGACAATATTAGAGAGTGTGTTGGAGTAACATCTATAATATAAAAGATGGTGGAAAATAGACTTAGGTAGCTTTGGCTTGTAGAGAAAAGATCCATAGGTTCTGCTGCAAGGAGAATGGATCAAATATAGATGGGTCAAACAGCTAGAAATAGAGGAAAACCTAGAAAAACTATAAGAGAAACTATTAAGAAAGATCTCGAGATTAACGAATTGAATATAAACATGGTCTTGGATAGAACATTATAACAGAATTTAATGCATGTAACCGATCCCACTTAGTGGAATAAGACTTGATTGTTATTGTAAGTTCGGTGCATTAGATTTATATACTCCATCTCAAAGGGGAGTGTTGATATTTAATTTAGATAGTATATTTTGTAAATATAGGAAAAGCATATTCTATTGTAATTAATGCATAGATAGTATATTGATTTGTTGCTTAGCCTATATAATGAAACATTTGTGGTGTAGCTCCAACATGCGGTTTTACCTTACATATCTTTCATTCTCTCTCATTCCACAGCTTGTAAATAGAAATAACCTTATATATCTTTCATTCTCTCTCATTCCACAGCTTGTAAATAGAAATTAGGGTCAGATGGAGAGTTAGACAATTGGTGAAATTATAATTCGGAGAGTCTAGCTTTCTGGAATATCTAGGAATTTGTAAGTTCTTAATGCTCATTCAATAATAATAATAATAATACATCTTTTCATTCCAATCTGATCCAGTTTTTAATAGCCACGACATTAAAAGCACAAATCAAGGAATTTGTAAGTTCTTAATGCTCATTCAATAATAACAATACATCTTTTCATTCCAATCTGATCCAGTTTTTAATAGCCACAACATTAAAAGCACAAATCAACGAATTTGTAAGTTTTTAATGCTCATTCAATAATAATAATACATCTTTTCATTCCAATCGGATCCAGTTTTTAATAGCCACAACATTAAAAGCACAAATCAACAGTCGCTCAGACTAAAAGGAAAAACACTTCATACCTTTATTGACACTACGGCCGAGGTTGTTGTTTTCCTTCAATGGATCAATGATGTTAAGATGTTTATGGGGAAATGCACGCAAATTTAGATCAAGTCCTCTTGGAGGTACCGAGAATGATTCCACGCAGCTTCTAATGAATTCTTCAGTCAGCAGAGTATTCCCTCCATTTTCCTGTGCCTCAGCTTCACACAACAGCAGAGAATCAAAAAAACGAGCTAAAGCTACTTGATGATACCAAAAATATCTTGCATACCTACTACATCTGACAAAGAAGATTTGCCAACTGGTCCCTTCAAACTTACACAATAATTGTCCCAATCAAATTTGCTGAAGTAGTCCAAAAATCTGTAGAGAACCTGGAAAAGGGCAGGGTGCATAAAATGCTAATTGAAAGGATGCATCACCAGCATCATGTGATTCAGATTTTTCTTTCTTTTTCCTTAAAATGTATTATTATTCATGTAAATTCAATGCAGAACTTACTGCCAGAGGACCATCTAAGGTCACATGAAATCGATGGAAAATATACAGAACCAGTGTTTCCAAAGCATAGGTAGAGATCAGCCCGTGGTGGGCACCAAGAATACGACTCTCGTAGTAGCACCAAGCTTTTATCAGGATAATACTACGTTTGAAGATATGATCCTTGGCTACAAGACGGTCAACCTACAAAATACAAATACAGAATTCAGTTAACAGCAGATACAATGGAAACTGTATAATGCAACACAACAAAAAAAATGCATAACATTTTTTTCAAAAGTCTTAAGAATCATATAAATGAAGAAAATATTAAAAAGATGGATCACCATTCGGAAGTGTAAGTAAAGATAGAGAAAAGTAAATTTGAAACAGTTTGTTACAAAATATAATCGGCGGTCTTAAGAGGCCACTTCAATAATACCTTCTCAAGAAAACATAGTGTACTGAGTCCTCCTAACTGATTGAAAGAGATGTCTACAACAATATTCTGTACAAGGCATTTTACAAGCTTAACCTGCAGAGAAGAATCTCCAATATATGAATCAACGGATAAAATCAAAAAGGGAAACTGCTGTGAAAACAACCCGCCAAAAACACACATTTAGCATTTTCAGTAAATGCAATGTTTCAATATTTTCATGTATAAGAAATATAAAAGTCAAGTTAATTCAGCAATAAACTGGCATTCAGATTCAGCCTACCGCATCAGTTTAGAAAAATCTGCACAAATGAAGTTAGATTTAAAATCAACAAGAATTTATGGAAACTGCTCCAGATTTTAGGTGAAGCTAAGCACCAACATAAAGCTCACTACCTACGCATAGCAACAACGTGGGGGTGGAAAAGATATTTCTGTAATTCAATAAGAGCATACAGCATGAGGAAATGCATGCTCTCGTGAAAATATTGGGTCTGTCTCAATTTTGATAAACATTAGATTTGGCTTCATATCAAAATTTGCAAAGTTTAATGAGATGGGCCAAAAAAATTCACATAACAAGTTATGTGAAATTTTATATAAGAGGATCCATTCCCAAACCACAGACGAAACACTCTTTAACACTGCCTGCTTTAGAAAATAGGAAAAGATGGTAATAGAAGAGACAGTTATCTGAACATTTGAGAACACCTCAAAGTTTCAAAAGAGAGTGAAAAAATAAATGCTTTCATCCTTTCCCTCAAATAAAAGTAAATATTGAAGGACAGGTTCAACATTTTCAGGTTCGTAGCTGGTGATTTCTAATTTATGGGCAACAAATGTTTCACAAACTAAGTTGTATTCTGTTTTCATATAAGGTATCAAGGAAGGGGATGGAAAGAACCTCTGCATCAATGAATCGAACATCCTTTACTTCATATTCAGCAGCTTCATTGTTTTCCTCTCCCCGAAGAACAGAATGAACATCAGATACCAAGCCATCCTCAATGTTTTGACAACTAAGTGCTGTCAGATCAATATCTCCATCTGGAAGATATGTTTTTAATGGAACTGACCCATATGGAAAGACCTGAAATAGAGAAAATGTAAAATTGGTTATATTATACCCACCTTAAAAATAATCCTAACAGCAGTACCAAGAGTCATGAAAATTTATTCATTAAATTTCCATATCAATCAGCTGCACTAAATTGAATAAGCACTTTCCAAGAAATATTCAATAATTAAGATATAAGGCATTGTTTATGCGGGCAAAAAAATGTGTCTCAACTGATATGGCTAAAATATATACATTCAATTCAAAAGGGTTAATATAGAAACAAGAAACCACAATATGCAACAGAAAAACCAGAGTGCTAAACGGTGGACACTGCAAGGAACTAGGGTCAGCAATTCAGTCCTAACAACATGCTATGATGGTTCTCTTTGGTGAGGTACAAGCTAATAAACTTTCTGAATCAAAGTCAATTGCTATAATATAACTTTCTGAATCAAAGTCAATTGCTATAATATAACTTTCTGAAACAAATAGTACCAATAAAACAACTTCCAAAGATAGATCTTTTTTTATTGATCAAAACAATTCAAAATGATTTTATTCCAAATATCCTATAGTAGTTATTACAAACAGAAAACACCAACAACTCACTGACTCAAACCAGAATAGATATCAAAGATAAAAGACAGGAGCACAGATAAGCAAACAAACAGCAGTTTTCAGTGATGCTTTTTCAAGTTGTCTCCAATTCCTAAATTAGTTTGTGAGAGTCAACAAACCTAATATTTCTGATATAGCCCACTATTACCACTCTTCATGCTGTAACCTTGAAGAACTATAGGACTATTAAGGCATATCAACAACCTTGATTACCTTAGAGGAGAAACAAGACATTATAATTACAATAGATTACACATACAACCTTGTTTGCGAAATTCCATACTTCCTTTTCGTTGTCACTTTCAAGGGGGTTTTGTATAAGGTCCACCCATGAAGGGGTGTGTGGTTCTTCAAACAAAGGGTGTTAGGGTGCAAAAGCAGCTCATAAAGTAAAGGATGCTGGACTTATTTCACAAACAAGAAAGGTGTCAATGTAGTAAGTCCTATCACAAGGGGAAACTTAATGCGAAACAATGTACATTTCACTATTTTATTCTTTCTATAATTAGGGCGTGCTTGTCTGGCATCTATTGCCTGAAGTAAATTTTAAGATTACATGTTGCAAATGATAATTATTTGAAGTTAGAACTAAAGATCAGAAAACAGCAATCCATCAATGATGTAAATACATCAAACCAATTTTTTTAAAGGCGAAACTATTATTGATATATTATATATATGGGAATACATTAGGTTGAAAATACACTAAACCTACATATGGCAAAAGTGGAAACTGTACTACATTCCAAAATATTTGTTTTTTTGCTGAACACTTTTGTTTGATTTTATTGATCTCTTTAAATATAAAAAACTCATCAACTAATTTTTCCAATTTTTATTCCTATCTCTTAATATCCCCATTAAATGGAGTGCTAGGGAGCATTGAGGGAATGTTAATATTTTGACTATTTAAAAAGAGGGTCGTTTAGTTGAATATTGTAATTTTCTTCTACTAATGCCATTAATGTCTCTATAACCTTGAGCAAAATCCTTAAACAACATGCATTTTGAAACAGAAGTAGGAAACACTTGTATTGTCAACGGGTACACATTGATTCAAGAGTAGCAATTGCTATGGTGCCTCGCAGAATTTGGGCTTACATGTAATTAAACCTAAGAGTTAGCTTAAGAGGTGGTGATTGTCCAAGCTTTATAAAGACTATTTTGTTCATATATCTAGTCAATGTGTGATCTTAGCACACTCTGTTACACATACAAATAAGCATCTAGGTAGACAAATGCATGTGGCCCAATTACAGCAGCACCTCACGCCTAGAACGAAACATCTAGAACATGGAAGATACAGGTGGCCCAGTAAAAAATCTATAATAGGCTCTAAATCCTCTCTGAATTTGAACTTAGTCTAACTCAACCCCAAAAGTTGGCACAAGAGTTGAGGGTAGATCAAGCATTATAAAGACTATTTGGTCATATATCGAATCAATGTGGGATCTCAATAGTACCCAACCTAAGTTGTCCGAAATTTCATTAACTATTGATTTCGCAATAAAATATTTAAAAAGCAATATAAGTACAAGCTGACGATCTCACCAACCCTAGAAAACAAGGGAGCCTTTTAATGTGGGCAATTATTCACAACATAGTTACCATGTTTACAATATTCTTCAGTATGTGGCATGGGTATGTGTCGCATTCCCTACTAAGTGTTTGGTATATGGGACCTACATAGTTTGTGTGTTTGGATTCATATGTTATGCTATACTGATAACTATGCTTGCTATCAATAATTTTATATCTGATTAAAATCTATTAAATTACATATTGTAGAATATAAAATATCATAAATAAAAATGAAGTGATGGGGCGTCAATTTAATCTTTTCGGAATATAACGTGAACTTTAAAAAATATAAAAAATAAAACATAGAAAGGGAATGGAAAATACTGTGTTTAATTCATTCAAATTCCACTTCAATTTAACTAAACAAAAAGACTTGTCCTGCGATAATATTTCACAAAACATTTGGCAACGACTTTTTTCAATTTTTTCGTTTTCCACAAGGTGTGAACACTAACAGAGCAACTCTTTTAATCACTGCTTTCTCTCTCCACTTAAAGAGAAACATTGCATATTCCGTTAGATTCCCAATTCTCAAAACTCCCACTTCAAAATCAAGCTTTCTCCGAACATTTGTCAATTGCTTTTGCAACTTTGTCGTTTTCCATAATGAGTAAACACTAAAAGATAAACGATTTAATCATTGATTTCTCTCTCCCACTTAAAGAGAAACACACCATCTTCCTTTACCTTCCCAATTCTGAAAAACTCTCACTTCAAAATCAAGCTTTCTCCAAACATTTGGCAACAGCTTTAGCAATTTTGTCGTATTCCACAAGGGGTTAACACTAACAGAGCAACCGCTTAATCATTGATTTCTCTCTCCCATGTAAAGAAAAATGCTTAATCTTCTGTTACCTTCCCAATTCTCAAAAATTTCAGAACCAAGCTTTCTACATTCATTTCAACAGGCTCCTACCATCTCCCATCCAACATTCATGCTCACATATCTAGCTCCCACCAAAGTAAAATCATGACCAACATCTATAGTTGGTTTCCATCTCCGCCACCAGTTCATCTCTTCTGAAAATTACATGAAGAATTAATAGGAACTATGATACACTCCTCACAACTCTTGGATGTATTAATGATTAATAACTTAATAAATATTAATGTATTCAATGGTTGCGAGTGATGGTTTAGGGTTTTATACCAAGTCCACCTTACAGATATGAAAAACAAGATGGATACGAGGAGAAACGCCTTTCAAGAACTAATTCCCTCATTGAATCTCCAACCGTTCCACCGTGATTTCCTCGGCCATACAAATCACCCTACTAAACACACCTTATTTTATTTCAGCTGACCTAATCTTAGTTATCAAACTAAAACACAGTGAATATATCCATTGAAAACAACACGCAACACATACACTCCAAACGGTGAAGTTGTTCACAAATGTCACACTAAATATCAAACAAATCAGCAAACGAAGAAACAGAAACCAGAAGAATTAACGAAAATAAGAAAAAGGAGCTGGCATCATCTAAGAGCTTAAACAAAAATAAGCGAATATCAAACATATCGACAAACAGAAACCAGAAACCAGAGGAATTAAATTAACCTAAAAGTGGAAGAACGAGCAACATCACCTCGCAGCGAGCACCGAAACGGATTAGTCTCTGAACATAATCAACAACCTCTCTCCTCCTTCGGTCAGCAGCGAGATTAGGTTGAATCCGGCGGAGAATCTCAGCCGTGGTTTCCTCAGCCGCCGACCAACCCTCATCCGTAACAAACGAAGGATCGAGATTCAAAACAGGAAGCGGCGGAGAAGGCGGTGACGAGGAGTAAGGGCGATCCTCCCCGAAAACGACACCGTTTACATGAAGATCGCCCATAACGACAACGACTCGTAGCAGCAAAAGAAGAAAAATAAAAAGGTTTTCAACAGAAAATGGGGACCACACCCCGGAATTGGAGCCGGGGGTAGAAAAGGAAAAGGTAATATGAAAAGATAGAGAGATGGTTCGATGTGAAGTTGGAAACTGCGGTGGCGCGTGAAATGAGAATACGAAACTTGAAAGGGAACGAGGCGATGCTGGTTTTTGTCTTTTTGAAGTAGGTGGTGGTGAAAATGGTAAAATGGTAAAAATTAGGGGGCAAAGTGCAAATAAAATAAAGGTGGCAGATTATGGATTATGAAAATGAAAACTAGGGCTTTTTCTTGTTTGTATTGTACTCACCGAGTCAAAGACAAACGGTGCCTCCTGTTTTCTGATTTTTTTATAATAAAAATTAATAATAATAATATTAAAAAAAATGTTATTAAACAAAAATAGGTTTTTTATCTATATTTTTTAATTTTTGATATTTATTTTTTATTTTTGAAGTAATTTATGTTTAAGATAGAATTTTGATGATATGATGGGTAAAATAAACTTAATGTGACAACTCAATTGGTAAAAGATGGTATATAGATTTTTATTTTACTACTAATTTTTAATTTTGTCAAAATAAATATTATAATTTATTTTGCAAAAATAATAAATTGTTTAAAGAAATTCTTAACTAATGACTCGTTTGTATGTTATTAACTCATGTGAGCTCACTTGTCAAATCATTAAAATCAACTCCTAATAATCATAGGTATAGAAATGTCAAACAAGAAATGTATAGAAATGTCAAACATTTTGAATACTTCATTCATCATGATAAGGATGTTGATTTCATCTATTTAGTTGGTATTAAATAGTACTTCATTATTATAAATTATAATTTATTTTGTCAATTTTAACTGATAAGTTGGAATTATGAGTAAATTTATAAATTTGTTCTTTTATTAATAATATGAGAGGGAAATTTGAAAAAAAAACATATGTAAAGTATTAAAATAACTTAAATTTAAAAATATGTAGTATTTTGAGAGTAAAAATTTAGTTGTTTTAATTAATTTGTTTACTAGACTTCTTTTTACATATTATATATAGGGAATGGAAATCGTATTAATAACAAATGGACCCAAATTTTAAGTTTTAAATTGGAAATAAGAACAAAATATGTGATGTAACACCCTAACAAGTAATTGACATATAAGTAGATTATTGTTATATCATATGCCACAAGTTGAACATAGACATCATAATCAGACCTGTATATGACGAATCTCAATTCAATTAAGTATGAGTTAGTTTTCTTGTTATATGCCCTAGGTGGCTTCTTAAGGCCATAAAGCATTTGTGCAACTTATATGTTTTCCTTACTTCCTCCGGTATCACAAACCCAGGAGGTTATGTGACATAGACTTCTTCGTCTAAGGGACCATTCAAAAATGTTAATTTTAAATCTAAGTAAAATATTGACCATCCTTGCTTACATGTCAAGGCTACTACCAATCAAACGTTCTCCATTCTTGTTATAAATGCATATACTTAAGAGTAATCGAGTCATGCTCTCTAAAGAAACCCTCAAGCTATTAATATTGTCTCGTGTCTTATAATCGACCCATCAGGATTGTACTTCAATTTGAACACCCACCTCAACTGGACCACACACATCTGAATGTATTATTTTTAGTATGCAAGACGATCTCATTGGCATAGTCGAAACTAAAGACTTTCTGGATTTCTTTCCAACTAAGCAACCTTCACAGAGTTTATCGGGCCTTAAGACTTGGTATACCAATTACCATATATTGAGTAATCAGTTGATTGAGTGATCGAAAGTTCAAATGTCCAAAACTCAAATGCCACAACCAACTATGCTTGTGGTCGACAACAGTTTTTAGACATTGCACTTTAACCGAACTAATCATGGTCTTGAATGTCGTATTCTTCGACAAATGAGATTTCAAGACCAAATTATTATGAGTGTCGAACAGTTCCAAGACTCCATCTTTCATAATAATTGAGAAACCTTTTTCGACCAGTTGTCCAACACTTAGCAGGTTTCACTTCATTCCAGTTACATAAAGTACATCTTTGGTCATAGCTTTTCCTTCCCCGCTCCATTGAATAATGATGTCACTAGTACCTTCTGCTTGCAATGAGCTATTATTATCAAGTTTGATTTTGCTCTACTTCGACTAGTCAAATCTGTTAACCACACTGTTCGACTAATCATGTGATTCGAGCAGCCAGAGTCGAGGAACCAGATCCTTGAGTCGACATGGTCTTCTGCAACTGCAGCCATAAGCACCATATCTTCAAAATCATTTGAATTTTGGCGTGCGAGGTTCGCTTCTTGTTATAGGAGTTTCTTTTCCTCTTTTCGAGGATTCAGAAGTCTTATCATCGACCTTATGCTTTTAAGGGTTCGACCGAGACTTCTTGCTCTGAGTCTTGTCTCTTTTGTCTTTGAATATGTTAGAACCGCCATGCTTCTTCCATATCTGAGCATGCAGTGCTTGTATTAAATCTTGAACCTTTTTCCTTTCGACAATCATAATCTCATGCGCCTCCAATGAGCCAACTAAATCTTCTAGTTTTAGAGTTTTAAGATTGTTGGATTCTTAAATAGTTATGATAACATGATAAGTGAGAGGTCAGCGTACACATTACCTTCTCAATTATCATCTTATCAGTTAGGGTTTCATCTAGGAATGGTAAAATGGGTCTCCCGCCCCGCCACACCCCGCCTGCCATAAGCCCGTAAAAAAAGGTGGGGTGGGCAAGTCCGCCAAGTGAAAATGGGCTTAAAGTACTAGCCCCCCTCCCCCCCCCCCCCCCCCCCCCCCCCCCAAGGTGGTGGGTTGGCGAGCAGCGGGCTTGCCCGACTATTTTTTTTATTTTTTTCATTTTTCATTTTTTTAATATATTAATAGACTTATTTTTACATTTCAATTAGATTTTTCACTTATTTTTTACAACAAGTTTTTATAAAGCATCTTTTTAACAAATTTTACTTTAAAAAAATATTACATATATCCACAAATAAATGTATAAAATAGAACCATCAATAAGTATTTCTGAATATAGTTCAAGTATTAACCTTCAACTAATCAAAAAATTGATTTTAGTGTTTGATAACTACGTTGGCGGGCTGGCAGGCCAACCTGCCCCTTTTTTGGCAGGCTTAAGATGGGATAGGCTTAAAGCGAGGCGGTTTAGGTGGGCACAAAATCCCAACCTAACTCGCCATTTTTTTGCAGATGTGCGGGTCGGCGGGCCACAACCCGTTTTCCCACCCCTAGTTTCACCACAACCCTTCATCAGATTGATGAGATTTTGCACCTTTGATACATAGTCTACAATCTTTTCGTCTTCTCCCATCTGCAGCAATTTATAATTCTGTCGCAAAGTCTGTAATTTGACAACTTTGAATTTTTCACCTCTTTCATGGTAATTGACAAGAATATCCCATGCCTCATTCGCCAACTCAGCATGAGAGATCTTGTCGAAATTTTCCAAATTTATCGTCGATTGAATGCAATACGCAACCTTGCAATATTTATTCTTAGCCTCCTTGTTCGCAACTCTCTGAGCATCAGTTTCATTCTCAGCAAGCTTATGGGAGTCATTAGTAACCACCTCAAGGGGTTCATGAAAGCCAAGCAGAGATCGCATATGTTTTCTCCATTAGATCTTATTCTTATCGTCTAGAATTATAAGAGAATTCAGAATGTCGTTGGTGTCATTCATCTTTGCAGCAAATATAATTAACAATCCACTATCTCGAAAACATAATCACTGATATGTGATTCTTGAAAACACTATCAAGAAACTAATTGGAGCTCTAGATACCAGTTTGTTAGTATGTGAGGCACTTTCAGTTAGGAGAGAAAAAAACAAGAGAGAATGAAGATAAGGAATGATATTATTGAATTATGATTATACAAACTAAATCACTAAATATGTCTATTTATATACAATTAACTTGTATACTAAGTAACAAACTCTAAACCCTAATTAACTTTGGGATTGGGCTACACAATTTGAATTATATCATAACAAAAATGATCATATAAACTCAATTATATTAAATATCCATACAAAAACAAAAATAAAAACATATGAGATGGAAAAAAAAAAATTTAAAAATTGACATTTGAAAATAAAGATTTTATCTCTCAAATAAAGGTAATTATTAATTAAAATAAAATAATATTGTTCTAGTAGTGACCCGTGACATGAAAAGTTAGTTGTCTACACCATTGTTAAGTATTATCCAATTTGATAAGGTACAAAAAAAAAAGACATTTTAGAAACCCGTGAGATGGAAAAAGAAAAAATAATATATTTTGACATTTGAAAACAAGAATTTTGTCTCTCAAATAAAGACAATAATTGATTAAAAATAAAATAGGTATTGTGTCGATAATGACTTGTTAGTTGTTTTAACAATTTTATCAAATAATTTGTTAATTTTATAACTATAAATTATTTTTAATATTTATGAATAATTTTTTAATAACCATAAAATAATTATGTTTTTTGTTGAGACTAAATTTTGTGTTTTGAGAATTAAATATTTTTGTGTATTTCTCTTTATTTCATTAAAAAAGGGTTCAATTTTTTATTTATATTTAGAAAAATAAAAAGGAAAGAGAAGATGGGGAGAGAAAAATCTATAATTTAAGAATATAACATGTTGTGGAAATATCATTTATGTCTTTCCCTCTGATTTTGACACATCCTCAAAATGGGGCAAATTTGGTCCAAAACTTTCATTTTTGAACGAAACTAGCAAACTGAACCGATTTGGTTTCTATTTCTTCTACTTTCTTTCACTTTTGCAATGACGAGAACCAAATTTTAGTCTATTTAGTTCCAAACCAACCTATTCAATCCAACTTTTTCAAGTTTTGTCTTATGTGTCATCATATCATTATTGTACTTGAATAAGGTTTCTCTTTCATTACAATGATTTTCTCTCTCTCTCTCTCTCTCTCTCTCTCTCTCTC